TTCCTCACCGAAGCCGCGCGGGGCAGTCGAGGATGTGTGGCGCGGTCGCCTGGGTCGCTGTCGCGGGCGGTGGGGATCGGGGAGAGGCCCAAGGCTGGCAGTGTCAAATCGGTTTTCTCTTTCCAGAGTTTCGCCATCCGCCCTCTGGTTACTGGGGGGTTTGAACCCAGGGCTTCGCCCTGAACTACATCCCTAGTCCTTCTGATGTTTTACTTTGAAATAGGATCTGACAAAGTCAGTAAATTGCTTAGGCTAGGCTCAAAGTTGCGATCCGCCTGTCTCAGCCCCTGGGAATCTAGGATTACAGCCATGGGCCCCCACACCCGGTCAGTAGTTATGTTATACTCTGGATGATCGTACTTTCGAATGCTTCTTACACTCTTTTCTGTTCTGCTTTCTCTGCTGTGCCTTCTTTTTCTGCCACCTCCAAACGAAAAGAATCACTGAAATCTCAGCCTGTCAGTTTCGTGTTAGTGAAAAGTTAATGGAGATCCCAATGAATCATTGACAAAAGTTTTGGCATTCGCTGAGGATTTAAATCATACATGCCAACGGCATTCTTAGCTCTTTATTCCATTGCTATACCCAATAAAGATTTGTAAAGATTTAGTCTGTTATTTAAACTAGTAGGTATTTAAACAGTTCTAACCCTTCCTGCTTTATCGGTACTGGAAATTGAATTCCAGGCCTTTGTACTGAGTTGCATTCGCACCCCCATTTTAAATTTTGTTTTGTTTTGTTTGAGGTACTGGGATCAAACTCAGGACCTTACACTTGGGAGGCAGGCATGGTGCCACAGAGCTAAATCCCCAGCCCTTTCTTTATAATTTTTTAAATTGACATAAAAGGGAATGTGTGAGTCACTGTTTCTCTTGCCCTAGGTAATGTTAGTGCAACTTCTGTCACTGTGTAACTGGTTGCTAAGAGGGAATGTCTTGCCTTTTTGGCTTTAGGGTTGGTTTTTTTTTTTTTTTTTGGCTTTAGGTTTTATATTTCATGTTTTTAATGAAATACAGTGAAAGAGATTCCAGTGTTAATATTTTTTGATGTGAGAATAACATCTGACTTTCACATTTTCTGTGATTTTTTTCTTTTTTTACTTTAAATTTTATTTTTATTGAAATTTTAGCACAGCAGTACATAACGATTACTTCATCACTGGATAGTTGATGCGTATACAAACAAATCTTAATTCTTTTTACTTCCCTTTCCTCTCCCTTCCATCCTTGCTTCCTCCCTCCCTCCATCTCTTGATCGCCTTCCCACTTGCAAATGACCTGTCTCCCTGTTTCTTACTATCTGTCTTTTATGTTTTTTGCTCTTAAATTATTTATTTATACTTTGGGCTTTTATGCAGAAACTAATTTGATGTAGTCCCCCATTTGTTGATTCTTGCTATTTTTTCATGTTCCATTGGAGTATTATTCAGAAGTCTTTTTCCTATGCCTATGGCTTCAAATGTTTCCCTTTATGTTTTTTGGTTTGTTTTGTTTTTTTGAGTCAGGGTCTCATTGTATAGTCCAGGCTAACCTGGAGCTCTATGCAGCTCATGCTGACCTCAGAGTAGTAATCCTTCTGCCTCAGCCTCCTGAATGTCTCTTGAGTGCTGGAATTATAGGCATGAGCCACTGTGCTCAATTTTCCCTGTGTTTTCTTCTAGCAGATTCAGATTTGTTTGTTTGTTTGGTGTTGCTGGGGAAAACACTAAGCTATTTACCAGCCCTTTTTATTTTAATTAATTAATTAATTTTTTTTTTTTTGGTACCAGAGATCAAACTTGGGCCCTTGTGCTTGTGAGGCAGGGGGCAGAACCACTGAGCCAAATCCCCAGCCCCTAGCCCTTTTTATTTTGAGACAGAGTCTCACTAAGCTCTGAGATTGCCTAGGCTGGACTTGAATCTGTGATCTTTCTGCCTCAGCCTCCAGAGTATTGGGATTTCAGGTTTGTGTCACCATGCCTGTGTAGTTTCAGATCTTTTACCTGGGTCTGTGAACTATGTCGAACTGATTTTTGCCTAGAATGAGAGGGATCTAGCTTTTTTTAAAAAAATAGTACATGTTTGTAGTACATAATAATCACGTTCCTTGTGTGGAGTTGGTACATGTAGTAATACATCTTCATTCTTTTTACTTTCCCTTCTCCCTTCCTTTAGGGACTAGGTTCAACTTTCTGCAAATGGATACTAGTATTTTTTTTGTTTTAAGCTCCATTGTGTTGGTTTCTGTTGCTGGGACAAGCTTAAAGGAGGAGAACTTTAGTTTGGTTCATGTTTCAGAAGTTTCAGTCCTTGCATGGTCACTTGACGGAGGATGTAGGGCAGAGGAAAGCTGCTCAGGTTGTGCTGGCCGGGAAGCAGAGAGAAGGAAGGAGCCCAGTAGGGAGATGCAACCTACTGGGTTACACCCACAGTGGCCTGCCCCTTACTTAGTTTTGTGCCAGTACCATGCTGTTAGTGTTACTCTGGTTTAACTCCAGAGTGTGGGAATCTTTCCAGTAGAAAACAGCTGTACAAATACTACTGACACTTCCCCTTGGTTGTCAAAAGATGGATT